ATTGTGGGCTGACTTCGGTCTCTGCTACCGCCACCGCCGCCTCCTCTTCTTCATCGTCATCTTCGTCTTCCTCTTCTGCCACCGCGACCACTGCCTCGGCCGCTGAGACCCCCGCCCCCCCGCCTCCTCCTCCCCACCCTCAGGGCATGACTTTCAAGAAAGAGCCGGCAGGAGGGTTTCCTCTCACTGCCACCTCCTCGTCGTCCCAGAGGAGCTCATGGGGTTTCTTCCATTCCCTGGTGAACATCAAGCAGGAGAAGCCCAGCGATCAAGAGGATGAAGAGCAGCAGCAGCACCATCACCACCACCATCACCATTATGGGGGTCTCTTTGGCATAGCTGGGGAGGAGAGGCACCCCACTCTTGGTGGAGGAGGAGGAGGAGGAGGAGTGGAAGGGGGCAACCAGAGTGTGATCCAGGACCTCAGTCTTTTTCACCACCTGCATCATCATCCCCATAGAGGAGATTTGCTATTGGGCATCAGAAGCAGTGGTGAAGTAAGTGCTGCTGGCTCAGATGAGCCTAAACAAGATGCCCAGGCCAGGAAGGTGAAGAGGCCAAAGTCAGAATCTCAGGGAAACAAAGCCAAGAAGAAGCCGAGCACTTCAACCAAGGCTCTTGTGGCAGGAGACGGAGAAGCTGCCATGCTATCCCCTAGCCAGAAACCTCATGTCTGTGAACACTGTAGTGCTGCCTTCAGGAGCTCCTATCATCTGCGCAGGCATGTGCTCATCCATACTGGTGAGAGGCCTTTCCAGTGTAGTCAGTGCAACATGGGTTTCATTCAGAAGTATTTGCTTCAGAGGCATGAAAAGATCCACAGCAGGGAGAAGCCATTTGGGTGTGACCAATGCAGTATGAAGTTCATCCAGAAGTATCACATGGAGAGGCACAAGAGAACGCACAGCGGAGAAAAGCCATACAAATGTGAAACCTGTCAGCAGTATTTTTCAAGAACTGATAGACTTTTGAAGCACAGACGTACGTGTGGAGAAGCCATAGGGAAAGCAGGTGCTGGAATGGATCCTGGGCCATCAAATCATAGCATGGGCAACTTGTCTATGTTGTCTCAGGGAAATACAGGTTCATCAAAGAGAAAAAGCAAAGCAAAATGTATACCCACTGAAAACAAAGAACATAAGCCTAGTCATAAAATACCTGAATCTCAAATTGCATCTAATATGTCCTTGCAGAATTATGCGGTAGAGATTCCTATAGTGTCTTCCAGTGGTGGCTTGATTGGCACTGGGTTAGAAGAGCTACAGAAAAAGGTGCCAAAACTAATCTTTAAAAAAGGAAACCGGAAAAGTGCAGATAAGAGCTTTCTTAATTTTATGTCACCATTACCAGACCTCCTTGGTCAGAAGCAATTTTCTGGAAAACCGAGTAGCTCTCTTGGCATAGTCGCAAATTCCAGTGTAGATGCTATTGGCCTTCTCCAAGCAGCAAGTGGCAAATCAGGTCAAATAAGTAGCAATTATGATGATGCCATGCAGTTTTCAAAGAAAAGAAGATATTTGCAAACCGCCAGCAGTAACAGTGCCTTTTCTATAAATGTTGGGCATATGGCCTCCCAACCGTCTGTTATTCAGTCTGCAGGGGTAAGTGTTATGGACAGTGAGACCCCTTTATCTCTTATTGACCCAACATCTCTTAATGCTGACATCAAATCCTGTCATGATAAGTCTGGCATTCCTGATGAAGTCTTACAAAGTCTTTTAGAGCAGTACTCTCACAAGTCAGAAGGCCAGAAAGAAGATCCCTTCAGCATCACTGAACAGCGTGTGGACTTACAAGCTTCAGGAGAACATACAGAGATGGTTCAAGAGGAGAACCTGAGTCCTAGTTCCCAGGCAGCTTCAAATGACAAAGCAAGCATGTTGCAAGAATACTCAAAATACCTCCAACATGCTTTTGAAAGAACAACCAATAGCACTGGTTTTGCTTTTGGTCCCAGTTTCCAATTTGTAAGTTTGTCTTCAAGCCTTCATAACCATACTTTGTTTCAAGACAAACAAGTGTACACTACGTCCCCACTTGAGTGTGGTTTCAGCCAATCTGTTACCTCAGTGTTGCCATCTGCATTGTCAAAGCCTCCTTTTGGGATGTTGCTTGGATCTCAGCCGGGTTTTTATTTGTCTGCTTTGGAGGCAACCCATCAACAGTTGACTCCTTCCCAAGAACTAGATGACCTGATAGACTCTCAAAAAAGCATAGACACTTCATCAGGCTATCAATCTACACCTCAAAAATTGAATAGCCAGAAAGAACAAAAAACCCTAGAATCTTCAACGAGCTTTCCAATTCCATCTCAGGAGCTAGCTAACCAGATAGATCCTCAGAAGGACCTAGAACATCGAGCAACATATCAGATAGAGACCTTTGCACAAGCATTTGGTTCTCAGTTTAAGACGGGCAGCAGGGTGCCAATGACTTTTATTGCTAACTCTAATGGAGAAGTGGACCATAGAGTAAGGACTTCAGTATCAGATTTCTCAGGGTATTCAAATATAATGTCTGATGTTAGTGAGCCATGTAGTACAAGAGTAAAGACCCCAACTAGCCAAAGTTATAGGTAGAATCTCAAGTATGACTAGGCTTAGGGGTGGTCTTAATGTATTAGTTTTATTTTGATAACACTGCCATTGGAATGTTTCTACATGATCCTAATACAAATAATGTAACACGCCCTTTCAATGCAACTTTTCATATTTAGTTTTTGTTAATATAATTTTAGATTGGTTTGTATTATGATTTTTAATCAGATCAATAGACATTATAGTTTGCATTTTTTGTGTTTAGCAATCAAACTTACTTAACTTAGATTGTCAGGGAATAGCCCAAAAATTGCAACTGCAAAAAAGAAAAAAAAAATTAAAAACCAAGACAAAAAAAAATCACTTTTGTTTTAGGATTAAGGTTTATGTTAATTGCTTTACTCTCAGGAAAATGTAATGAAGCAAGGAGATTCTGTACACTGTTGGTGTATTGGAGTTTTGAATTTACAAATAAGTGGTAACTCTATTCTGCCATTTAACAAAGGGTTTTAAGACATTGCAAATTGCTGTCTTGTATCTGGGTGATATAAAATTCTGAGAATTTAGCTGCCTAAAGCTTGTTTTATAGTTTTTAACATACTACTTTATTTCTTTTTCCAGAGGATAATACCCATTCCATACTTTTAGGGTAGCTACTCTCAGATTCTTGGTATGTTTTCTGGAATGATAGCTTTAAGAAAAATAATGTCCACCCCTATTCCTCCCTGCCCCTAGGAGATTATAATTCTGTAAAGAGATATTAATGATATAATCCATAAGAGGATTTTTGAATTAGTAATTTGATGTCATTGTAGCCCCAAATTCAAATTACAGTAATAATTTATATACACTTTGGAATGCATTATTTATTATATATTTTTAAAATTCCCTTTGATTGGCCTCCAACCTTTTCTTTCCCTTTGCTCAATTTTTTAATTTTTACTATCTTAGGCTGTCTTCTTTTATCATCTGTTTTCTGTACCAAGTTTGTTTGCCATGATTTGTGATCTTTTTCTTGTCCCTTAGCTTAACAGCTGGAATTTTAGAAGATATACATTCCAGAAGATTGCATAACTTATTATGTATTTTCAGATGTCTCGTGACATCAGGAGTTAAACAATTGAATGCCCCTTTATTTTAGAAGGCTATAAAGTTTTCTATATAAGATACAGTAAGGAACAATTAGTTGTACATAGAAAGGTCTCCCAGTATGCATTGGGATTTGCATCCACAAGCTGTCTTGAGTATTTTGGGGTGGGGTGGGGTTCAGATTACGTATGGGTTTAAGGATGTGTAGAAGACACTTTGCAGGCTTGGGTCATGAGACTTCACTTGGATTCAGAGATTGGCCTAAACATATGAACCATGTGACAGGTACCTATGTGGTTTATTGTAGCCAGAATCTTCCTAAGGAATTGTTGCTCAAATTAATGTATATTTTGTGGTACATTATTTATGATATGTGAATCTTGATTAAAGCCTGTGGAGCCACAAAAACCTGCTAGAGAACTTAGTGGCTATTTTAAAACTGCTAAAAAGCAGTTGCACTGTCCAGAACCACTTTTTTTTTTTTGCAGATTTTTTAAAAATTAGTTTTTAAATGTAATTTTGGTGATGTTTTTGCAGATTTTTTAAATGTACTTTTGGTGATACTTCTGTCTTATGTACTTTCTGAAGGCAGAAAAGTACCAGTGGTTGTTTGCAGTCTTATTGTGTAATTGGCCTGTTTCAGGCGTTCATGTATAATAAAGTGATTAACATTGTGCAAGTGTAAAACACTTCAGTTATGAAGATGTATTACAAGAACTATGAAATTCTTAAATTGTTACAGAATGCTAAACATACCCATTTTCCCTCTTCTTCCTGCCTACCAAATCAACTTGAACTTGAGACATCACCTTATTACTAATGCATAATTAATTAAATCCCATTTAAGTATATATATATTTGATAATGTATTTCCCGTCCTTCAAATTAGTGCTGTTAATTTCCCCTGCCATCTAGTTATAGAGCACAACTTATCATCAAGGGATGGAGTATATCTTAACCACTGTGTAGTTCTGCTATGGGTTTTTCTTTGTCTTTTGGGGTATTTTGTTCCACTGCAGTTATTTCTTTTCTTTATATTGTGTATACTGGATAGTGTGGATAGGGATTGTTTGCTTTAGACTGTGACCAATTAAAATGCTGTTCACACAACTAAGGAAAGAAGATGCTGTTGTATTATCTATCCAGTTACACCTCTGGCTTTGTCAAGACAATTCCATAAAATGCTTGAAACTAAACGCTGGAACAATAGAAGAGTAACTTGCTTGCTTTTAAAAGGTATTTTTATTGTAAAATTTCTTTAGGTGAACAATAAAAACACAGTTTTTCGTTATTTTGAGCTTTAAATTATTTATCTTACTCTGCTTGGGTTAGGGTTTTTTTCTTTGAAGATGCTTTTGAAATGAATGAAGTATTAGATCGCTTACACTAATGGGTAGAATTTGACACATACTTACAATACTGAGAACTGTTAATGATTTGGTTTTATTTTAGTGACCCTGGAATTCTGTTGAAGAGTAGGATAAATTACAGTATTCCATTGCCTCATCCTGCTATAATTTTAGATATAGGGAAGTAATTAACTCAATAGGACACCTTGAATTGGAAGGGAAACATGGTTTCAAGTGTTAGGTTAAGCCATGGTTTATTTTAACCATTAATTGTTGAATTATGATCAGATATTTAGTAGAGAACCAGAAGGCTGAATTCAGTTTCACTTGATTTCCTAGACCCACCAGAAAGCTGATGGAAGATTTTTGCTCTTAAAAAAGAGGCTCTAGGCATGCGAAGGGCAAATATTTTAATATCCAAATGAACATCAAAATGATTAAACTTTAGGCCTAGGTAGAGCTTGGTTGGGTTGCATCAACATGGTGCTTCTCTGAGGCATATTACTCTGCCTTGAGGCTGGTCTGACTTGATTTGGTTGCTTTGCTCCAACAGCTAGCAACTGTTCCTGGGATAAATATATACAAAAACCATTTTTATTCAGCAAATGAAGCATTGTGGCAGCTCTGCTACAATAGTTAGAACCAGGCCAACGCAGCACTTTAGGGGCACTCAAAGGGTGCTTCCTTTGAACCGTTGTCACAATGAAGTGCTGCTTTGAAAACTGACAACTCTACTAATGATCTACTTGACTAGTCATGAATGTCAGCAAGTTTTGTTTTCCAAATTTGGTAAGGAGGACAGCTTTCAAAGGTGGAGATTAATAGAAAAGCATGGGGGGGGGGTCAGAGTTACTCACTGCATGCTACTTAGAGTGATAAATTTTTTATAGCATATATGTAGTACGTTATGGTATAGTCCTTGCAGCAGGTGGTGGTTTAAACGTTTGTATTTTTAAAAAGATAACACATTCAGTTTAAACATGTTTAAGTTGATTTGTAGCAAATGTTAATATCCTGAAACAAGAAAAGTATAATTTCTTATGGTTCCCAAATAACCAGCAGGAAAAATACATCCTAGGGCTAATATATAAATAAACCTATTGTAAGACTCTTGCACCAAATATAATGGTAAGGTGGCTGTTGAAAACAAGGCAAAGAAAGATATTTCTAAGGGAAGATCTCTTGAGTTTTTAGGATTAATGTTTTTCATGCAGATCTTTTTTATTTTCATGCTGGTGGTTTGCCTGATTCTGGTATTTTAGATTGCAATAATGGGAAAAGTACCGAAATACTTCGGAATAGGGAGCATAAGAACCTATTTATGGAATTAAGGTATCCCTATCCATATCTTTTAGTCCCATTTTCTGTTCTTGCTCCTTTAATTTATACCTTGGTAGTATGGTGCTTAAAAGTTTGTGAACCCTTTTGGATTTTCAACATTTTTGCATAAATCTGATCTAAAACGTGACCTGTTCTCCACAGATAAAGAGAATTTAATTTAATGTTAACTCAATTAAATGAGTTAAAAACATTATACTTGTTCATTTATTTGTTAAGGAAAATGATCCAAAACTGCATATTTGTGTATGGCAAAAGTATGTGAACCTCTAAGATTATCAGTTCATTTAAAGGGGGAATTAGAGTCAGGTGTTTCAATCAATGGGATGACAGGTGTGAGGGGGAGGTCTTGCCTTATTTAAAGAACAGAATTCTGGGTATTCCCTATTAAAGTCTGATCTTCATAACACAGGTACATGGAAGTGTTTCATGGCTCAAACAAAGGAGATTTTTGAGGACCTCTGAAAAACAGTTGCTGATGCTCACCAGGCTGGAAAAGGTTACAAAACTCTTTTCACCAATCCACTGTCAGACAGATTGTGTATAAATGGAGGAAATTCAGTGCCATTGTTACCCTCCCCAGGAGTGGTTGACTAACCAAGATCATACCAACAGCAAGGCATGTAATACTCTGGGCGGTCTCAAAGAACCCCAAGGTAATGTCTAAGGATCTAAAGGCCTTTCTTGCATTGGTGAATGTCAGGGTTCATGAAACCACCATCAAGGGAACATTGAACAACAATGGTGTGTGTGGCAGAGTTTCAAGGAGAAAACCACTACTCTCCAAAAAGAACATTGATGCCCGCTACAGTTTATGAAAGATCAGGTGGATAAGTCAGAAGGCTATTGGAAGAATCTTCTGTGGATGGATGAGATAAAAATAGAATTTTTTGGCTTGAAAATGTTGAAAATACAAAAGGGTTCACAAATTTGAAAGCCACAAACTTTAAAGCAGCACTGTACATACTGTAAAATTTACTGCAAACTTGAATTAGATTTGACAAAGTATACATTTTGGCATATTATAATTCTATAAACAGGATATTTCTGAATTTTTTCTTATGCTTGCTTCCCCTGTTTGCCAGGAAGAGGTGAATTAGATAACAAAGATGGCTACTAAGTGTCCTGGGGCAGTGTGGCACTAGCAGGGAAGTAATTGTTCTTTCATGGTGATTTTTTGTTGAGGAGTTGATCTGCTGCTGTATGTTTTTTGCCTCTCCAGAAAAAAAAAATGTTTTTTTTCCCTTTAAATGATTCATGGAGGCTTGGAGTGTAATTTGCATACATTTCCAGAAAAAATATTCTTGAGAATATTTGTGAAATGCACTCTTAAGTTCAGTGTGACTTCCAGTGACTAACTGCACATGTCCATGTTCTCCTGAGTTGCCTTAGGACAGGGAACCAATTGATGGTCAGGGAACCATTGATATCCTGGTGATGATGATGGTAGTAATAATAATAATAGCCAGTATCTCACATAATCAAGAAATCTTGTTGAAATTTGCCTTTTGGTCCAAAAAGATTTCACTTGAGAACATCAAAATCTTGTGAAATTTGGTGAATTCCCAAGATTTTAGCCATATGTAGATTAAAAAAAAACAACAGCCTAGGCACCTGAAGGGTTACTTGTGTTGTGATACCCATATGGACCATGTTGCTAATTCCTAGCTTAAGCAGTGATCCTCAAAAGGTCTGTGACAGTAGAGTGATATGCATGAAGGCTTCAAGAAACCCTGGGAATTAAGGTAGCAGGATACACATCTTTAAATATCCCATTTCATAAAATACCATCAGATGTATTTTGTATGGACAATAAATAATTGGAAATAGTCTGTCTTTCCAAGATGCACATTCCATGATAACACAGTGCCCGTGTATCTTGCTGGGCAAAGTTTCCTTGGCCTTTACAAGTGCTGTTTTTACAGGGTAGATATTTTGATCTGTGCTACCTACAGATAGCTAATCAGGCAGTAAAAAGGAAAAATCCCTCCCCCTGCCCATTATTAGTGATGGCAACATACTGAGAATTTACCTGTTATTTTCTCAGAATTGTACAGTATTAGACTTCATCCTCTTTTGAAAGTTCCTGTATATATGATGTGTTGAAATTTGGGAGAAAAATAAAAATGGTCTATTCTTCCCCTACAGTTCTGCACATAGCCTTAGTTTATTGGCTTAGTGTGCTGTATGACTCCGGCCAATACCTTGTTTTGCCATAAACCAGAGCCACACTGAGCTCATGAACCAATTTATGAGTCTTTCAAGGCAACTGAAAGCAAGTGCTCTTTGGGTATATTACACTTAGCCTCTTGCAGAAAAGATGATGATGTGCATCTCTTTCTGTACTGGACTCTGAAGTTGGGCTTAATGAAATACATCCACTCTCAGCCTTTGAATTGGCTTTATATAGATGGAAAAAAAGATTGGACAATAGGATTCCTTGTGGTTTAAGAACAATTCATTTAAATTAATTTAAATTTAATTATCAAAATTGAGTTGTATTTTGTATAAAGACATAACCAATGTTCTTATGTTGTAGAAAAATACATTTTATTATTGTATTATATTTTTTATTTTATTCCATTTCTTTTTTCTACCTGGGTTACTTGTTAGTTTTTATCATTTAATTTTAAATATATATACTTTAATTCAGTTTGTTTGAATTGATTATGCAAGTTCTGCTTTTCTATTTCTGTCTTATTTCTATTCTTTAGGCGAATCAATTACATTATTTTTTCAAAAAGTGACTCAATCTTCTGAAAGCTTGCACCATGCATATTCTCTGCATATTCAAAAGAATTGGGAATAGGTTTTAGTTTTGGACAGAATGAAATACTTTTGGCCCTCTCCCCCATTTTAAAAGAGAAAGTAGGCCATGAGAATGTCTGTGGTTGGTCTGACCTATATTCATTTTGATTTTGCACCTCCACTGGCAGGGGCCATGGTGGCAAACTCATCTCCTATAGTTAAACTCTGTACTAGTACTCAGCAAGTATGCATTGTATTGTAGGCATTCCCAACTTGACATAGGTTGTTTTGGATTACGATTCCTATAATCCTTGTCTGGCTAGGTATAATGGGAATTGTGGATCAGCACATCTGGAGGACACCAGGTTGGGCATAGCTATTGGAACTTAACTGTCTCAGATGGGCCTAAAATGGAGGTAGAAGATAACCTACTATCTTCCTTGTTTCCCTCCAATCTTTTTTTTTTTTTTTAAATTCTATATGTTGGTTGGCACTTTCACACAGGGATTTAATGTTAATCTGGATCAGCAGCGTACTCCTGCATTTCCACACAGTTGATCTGTTTTGAGCAGCTGACCTGTGGTGCATTGTGAATTGGGAATGTACCAGTTTATTTTTTTGAGATGAGCTTTCCTTTGGTAGAAACTCATTTCATTCCATCCTCCTGCCACCCTGTAAGTAACCAAGCACTACTGCTTAGCCAATTTTAATAGATCAAAAGGTAGAGGATCTTGTCGCATTTTCCTTGTGGTGACACTGTGGTTTATAAAACGTGACAAACCAGTCATTGTACTGAAGACTGGGTTAGGACACTGATAGAGTGCCATTTTTGCACTCT